TCAGACGATTTGCACCTTTAAACGACCAAATTTCTATTTCAACTCAAAGACCAAATATAAAGCTGATTTGAAACTTTGACTCGGAAGGTGTGATGAACAGAGTATCAACAACGACTGCGACATGTTAAGTAAGACTATTGCAATTTTCCAGATGATTCGTAGCGTTTCGTAAAAGATCTCCAAGGTTCGTAGTAAATTATTTCACGTTCCTTCAATTTTTTCACGTAATTTCAATTTTATTAATCATTTTGCGAAGTCATAGGTTCTTTGGAAAAGGAATTAGAGAGTTCACGATACTTTTGACAATTTAGAGTCTGTACAACTGTTTTTAGGTCTATATAATAAAGTGTTTCGTATTGTTGTTTTCAGAGAATCAGAAAAATTGCTGGAGTTCAAGGCGGATCGAAAACACTGCAACCATTCCCGATAGTTCTTAACGATACCGCCAAAGGTCATCGAAATATTTGTTTTAGAAGCACACGATTCGAAGAAAGCTTTCGTGATCGTTGAGAAAATTGTAAAATTCTGTATCAGAACCGAAGATTACTCGATATCTTTGCATTCGATTGCCGGTAACTAAATCGAAGCTGCATTCGAAGCATTCAAGAACCAAAGTATCCTCCCTCCCCCCCAATGTCTAAATACCATAAACCCCAAGGATTTGTATCCAAAGGAAAAAAGAAGAAGAAGAAAAAAAAACAAATAGCGATAAACCTACGAACGTCTGTTACGAAAATTTCGACTGGACAGCCCGCGAGAAAGACGATCGGATGAACGGAAACAGAAATGACACCGGAAGTGGCGTGAAAACGATCAAAACGAAATGGTGGAAGAAAGAAAAAAAAAAAGGTCGCCGTAGATCGTGAAATTTTTGCGTAGTCTATCGAAGCACCAAGATCAAAGTTTGCCGGAAACGGGACTCACCATCTCCTCGAAGAATCCTCGTGGTCCTTTCGCGAAACGATCCTCGACCAGGATCCGAACACACCGTGCACTCTCCGCCGCTTGCGAAACACTTCTGCGCATTTCGTGGATCCAGTCAGCCCTTAAATAGTCGTTCGTGACGGGGTGGAGACCGGTTGGGATGGCTCGTGAGAACATTTTCTCGGCACAATGCGCCCTACTTCGATCCCACGGGGTCGTAGGTCGGCTGAACGGAGATTTTTACCTGTTTCCGGGACCGAACGAAGGGGATGCTCGCTGCGAGGACACGCGGAGGGATGATCGAGGAGGGGAAAAAGATGGTAACGGTCGTTTTCTTTCGACGGATTTCTTTCGAGGGGAGAGAGGGGCAAGGGTGCAGCTTTCGATTCGTGAGAATTGGGCTGCGTGTAGGGGAGGACCGTCGAAGGTGCCTTTGAAATACGAGACAGCTTGCCGTGCGAGAGAACCGAAAATTGCCAGGCGTTCGGTATACCTTATGGTTGCGGGTACCTTGTGATTTATTTTCAAATTTATTTAATATCGGTGTTGTTACAAAAATTGTTTTTGTATGGATGAGTTGGATGGGGTGGTTCTGTTAGGGGTAGAAGTTTATTCCGCGGCTTTGTATTCGAACGTTTACAGTCGATCTATTTTCTTATGAAAAACAGAAATGGAGTTAAAGATTGGTAATTTTGAACCATAGTCAGATGTGTAATTTCATTTGTTGTGGAGAGGGCAGGGGCAATTTAGAATCAAAGGATTGGAATACACGAGGAAGGATTTCAATTTGTTTTCTATTTTTGTTTCTTATGAAAAAGTGAAATCGAATGAAGGATCGTTAATTTTGAACGGTAGTCGTTGTTACAAAAATAATTGTTACACAGAATGGTGTTGATATGAATGCGTGAGATGGGGTGGTTCTGTTAGGGGTAGAAGTTTATTCTGCGGCTTTGTATTCAAACGTTTATAGTCGATCGTTCAGGTCTGCAGTTTAAATATTTATATATATATATATATTTATATACTGTATATTAATAATTATGTATCTTTGGATAAAGTATATTATCGTCAGTGTGTGCACATTTTGTTTTGTAATAGAATTCAAACGTTTATAGTCGATCGTTCAGGACTGCAGTTTAAATATTTATATATTATATATATATATA